ATCATCATCATCATCATCATCATCATCATCATCATCATCATCATCATCATCATCATCATCATCATCATCATCATCATCATCATCCATCCATTGTGCCCTGGTCATGGGATATTACAGTATATAATAATATATATACTGTCTTATTGAATTGCTGTCTAGCTGGAAGTCCGGGGGGAGAGCTTGACGTGCTTGGTTTCTTGACAGACCTGGTCCGTCTCTTCGTGGTCCTTGACGGACCTGATGGGTTCGTTTTGTGCGTGTTCGGTTCATGGAGAGCACTCCAGTAGCGGTTGTGGGGGGAGTCGGGGAGTCTTCCCAGCGGTTGTGGGGAGTCTTCCCAGTTTATGACCCCCACCAACGTTGGAGACCTCGACCTCGGTCAGTTGAGGACGGGTAGATTCTGGACGGACCCGGACTGACGACTGGGTCCCCTGGGTCCACCAAACCGACAAAGGTCGACCTCAACCACCTGAGTTCCTTTTGCTTGAGAGCGAGCTCTACCCAGTTGCACTGGGCAGGCGGTGTCATGCCATTGATTTGGAACCTACCCTGTGGGATCAAATGCCCCTCTCCCCTCGCCCTCATGCATTTTCTACATGTCATCTCATCTATACCTCTATGTTTTGAGACCTCAGTGTGCAGTATGCTTGATGCTTTCCGCCAATCAGATTCAATCATGGAGAAAACGATTCTGCTTAAATCTGCTCTGCCGGACGCATTGGATTAAGAGTGTACTTCCCTTATTTTCTCTTAGTCCGCCTATGTGAGCTTCTGTCAGCATCCTTTTTGTCGGGTGGCCGCGCCGCACTTCTTGCTGTTGTTGCTCTTGTTGCTCTTGTTGCTGGTGCTCTTGCTTTTGCTTTTGCTCTTGCTGCTGCTGCTGCTGACGATGCTGACGATGCTGGTGCCTGATGTTGTCAAGATTGCTATCTATGCTCACTCAAGTTACACTATATCATATCATACTTGTATGGTATAATTACAAATACCATCCATGACTGATGATATATGTGCAATATATAGGGTAGGACGAAGTGAGAAATGGCCGAGGTTTTAAGCGAACAAAGTGAGAAATTAGAGGGCGTGCGGGGGAGAGGTTTTGAGGCAACATGTTTAGGTGAGCCTCTGGTATTCATAGTTTTGTTTTTTTGTTTGGGTGAGCTCGTGATGGAAAAGATGCCATATGAATTTTTGTTGACACCACTTGCATCATAAGTTTGTTGGGGCCCCTTGCTTGACAAAAAAAACAGGCTGATAGAAATTGCACAAGTTCGCTCGAAGTGGGACTGAAGTTTCCAGTGAGTGGAGAGGGGGTGACCCAACCTGGACCTCTACGTCGATGAGCAAGAGCAGGTACCTCCCTGTACCTCCTCCAAATGATTGGCCTGCAGAAAGAACGCGCGGGTACAACGTTAAGTTCAACTCAGGTTCGGTTTAATATTTTGCACATTCATATGTCTTCATCCCCACTAAGAAGAAAACGACATGGCGTTGCCCAGCTTGGGTCACCTTGGCTAGCCTTCGGCATGCGGAAGGTCTCCATCCCCAACTTCGAGATCTCTCACGTGGGGGCACCTGGGCTGCGCGAGCAGCGAGAGCAGGCCGTGACGCGAACATGGTGTAGTGACGTGACTCCAGGGACCTTGTTATACTCGGAGGTTATACTCGGAGATGTTAAGAAGTATTTTCGTGCAGATCTTGTTCATGCCCACCTGACCGTGCCCGACCAACAAATTGAGAGTATATGTGCTACGAATTATTGCAAGTGGGCTAACTCTTAATTTTGGCGGAGTGGCCGGTGGCAAGCATCCATTGGTCCAACATCGGCGCGAAGTAGCCTAGACATCGGCAGCGAGCTGCCGAGTGATGGGACAGATGCGGCATCATTGACAGATGCAAGCAGGGTTGGGGAAGAAACGAAACGGTGTGATGGCGAGCGATGCCGTGCTCAACTCACTCAACTGACCTTCAGTTCATGCACCATGCAGAGAATCAAAGGAAATACGCTGTTTGGGTAGAGTCGTTTCAGAGCAACCCGCGGGTGTATGTTTGTTTGTTTTTTAAGGGACGGTGTTTCGATGTCCCTGCATTGAGGCCTTGTCAAAGCTGGGCCTGTCCTTGAATGTGACGGGCGGCCAATGCCAAGGCCCTCCATTTCTGCGGGAGTTTTCGCCGTTGAACCTTCTGAACAAGGGACATTTGAGTTGAGATACCCTCTAGCAAATGAAGATAGGCAGAACACCATATAAAATCATCCAGGATCATTTGAGCTGCGACTATACATGGAGTAGATTGTGCTGGAATGTGCTGGATTGGTTTGGGTTGCCAATGGTAGAAACGACACACTCTCTGTCTAATGTTGCGCAGTTGGATTGGGGTCGAAGGCCTTAAGACTATAGATATATTAAACCTCCGAGAGGCAGTTAGCCTTATACTGTTTCCTAGTTCCAGAACCCAACATCAAGACCAAACACCATCCTCAAAAGTTTTGGCTAACCCAAATGTTAAATTTTGTTAAACAACCTCGGCGAACACCACGAATAAGACCATTACAAAACGGTTTGTCCGGTTTGCATTTCTCCTTCCACCCATGTTCCTGAACCCCTGGATCCCCCCGAGACCTGTGATGTCATTTGTGGACCGCTCGAGTGCGGGAGGCATAGAACTTCAGGAGTTTCGACTTGTAGAGACTTCTGCGGATGAGAAACACATGGCTTTCACTCTGCAGATGGACTGGGCGCGCGAAGACACGTGGAGCCGCGAAGAAACGCGGACCGCGAAGAAACGCGGAGCTGCATCGAGTCGATGTGTGGGTGGAACGCGCGGACCGGGCGCTTGTTCCTCAGGTGGCATGAGTGGGATGACCATGCCATGAACAGCACGAGGGGATGAGAGTTGATGATACGCAGAGGGATGGAGGCACCCACCCACCGATCCAGTCTCCAGTGTCAAGCAGGGACGACGTGCAAGACCATGCCAGCCTGGAAGATGATGTGCTCATTTTCGAGAAGTTTGCTTGTGAGTGTTGTTCCCTGGATGTCACCACCTGAGAAGCTCATGTGACATGTGGCAATAAAGTGAATCAACAAAACACGGGTTTGTATGGGACCATGGCGGGCAAACCGTTTTGCACAAGTGGTGTTCGGGATCCAATCGTGGGTCTCAGACGGAAGATTCATTTTTGGACAGCGTTGGAACAGCTGAAGGTCAGGAAGATGAACATGGAACCTGAAAGTTGACATATTTGGAAGACCATTTTTCCTCTACAACCCAGGGGCTTTCAGGTTGCATGTTGATCTTCCAGGGCGTAAAGAGTCAGTTTGAGTTTTGTCAGACGTAAAGGCTTTGAAGACAGGCCTTCATTGGATCCCTGCGACCCAGTACTGCGTCTTTGTTGCGCGACGCGGGACACCGACCGTTTTTTTATGTCCGGCTCCAAGTGGGTGTTGGTCGAGACATTGGATGAACCAGGAGAAGTGCGGAACAGGCTTTCAGGGCTCCCAACGGGGGATGTCCTGTTTTGATCACTTGTTTCCTGCATTTTGGAAGGCTTTAAGCAGCGCAGCCCATTTCCTGATTGCTCCATTTGGTTGATCGTTCAGTGCAGGATCTTGGCATCAGCTGCCAAGTCAACACCACTTTGCAGGCCTGGTGAGATGCTTGAGCTGCTGAATTGAATGTGTGGTAATGGCTGAACAGCGCCTCGCATCGATCTGCACCTTGCAGTCTGTCATCATGTTGTTTCATGAGTTCAGGTGATTCAGTGATTCTTATTGTTTGTCAAATTTTGACATCTAATACAATATGTGACATATTGCATATTTATGTTCATTCATGTTTTGTACATTTTTTTGGTGACATATTTTGTCCCTGGTTTTGACCCTGTGTCTCTCCCATCACAGGCTGCTGGACAGCACAGATGTGAATTGGAGCTTGGATCCGCTGCCGCGGTTGCTCGTGTTGGGCTTCAGGTCCGCTGTCGCAGGAAACGCGTCGTTCACCGTCGTTGTTGCTTTGTTCTTGTTGTTTTTCATTTTGTTTCACTAATTCCATCTAATTCCGCTTCACTTTCGTTCTATCCCGGACAGCCAGAACACAATGGACAA